GCCCCCTTTCCAAATGTGCCACTCCTGGGCTTCATTTATTGCCTTGGCTGATGTGCTCCCGTCCCCTCCAATGCTTCTCTCAGGACAGCTGAGTCTGTGCAGGGGCTGCCCCACAGGGGCAAAGTTCCCGCGGAGGCCACGGAGGAGGGGGGCCTCTGAGTGGCAGAGCCCCACCCGGAGCAGCAGCCCTAAGGCAGGATCTCAATCTTCTTCCGCAGCGCCTGGGGGGGGAAGAGCAGCTGCCGGAGGAGGCCGTCCAGCTCCTCCAAGGCCAGCTGAGCGTGCAGCACCGTCACCTCGTCTCCCTCACAGCGCACCACCCACTTCAGCAGGCGGTAAAGGTCCAGCAGGACATCGCGGAGAACCTGGAAAGAGGAGCAGGAATTAGTTCTTTTAAAGAAAAAGATCAGAATTGGCCATTGTCCCCATCCGAGGCCTTTGGTCCACCCCACGGCTTGAGCAGGAGGCTTTGTGCCATGCTGGACAATGGGCTCTCAGCCTTTTCCTGACCACCCCCAGCCAGGCCCTGAGCCCAGGGGAGCGTGGAACCAGCTGCCGGAGCTCCAGGAGGGGCCAGGACTGCAGGGCAGCCTCCCGGAAGAGCCGCCGTCTGGGGTCACTGCTTGGTACCCGCCCCCCCCCCCTCCATTTTCATTCCACCTCTCTAAAAGTGTTATATAAAGGGGTGAAATTACTTTAATACTTCCCCCAATCCCCCCCCCCCCAAGAGCAACTCTGTGGGTTGGGCTGGAAGAGGAACCGGCCCAAAGTCACCCAGCCGGCTTTCACGCCTAAGGCGGGACTAGAACTCACCTTCTCCTGATTTTTTCCAAGGCCAGCATTTAATTATTGCACTAATTAATCTTACACACCTTCCTGGAGCAAAGGTGTAGGCAAACCACCCTGGGCCAGTTCCAAGAGAGCGACAATCCCTTGCCCGTAAATGCCAGGCTGGGCCACCTCTTCTCTGGCATTTCCTGGTGGCAGGGGTGGACGCAACGAGGCGCAAGCGGGGATTTCTTTCAAAGAGGCCGCTGTGGACGGAAGGAAGCACTTCCTTCCTCTGCTCTCGTGCCCAACAAAGGAAGCCGTCCGCTGGCCTTTCCTCCAGGAATCCGGGCAGGTCCAGCAGGGCCTCCTTTCCTCCATGCCTGGCCACAGGAGGACATGCCCAGCCTCCTCTCCCTCCACACGGAAGTCCTGCCAAGGAAGCCCCCGGTGGCACAGGGCAGGGCAGGGCAGGGCGGCCCGCTCAGAAGAGACTCACCTCCACCGCTTTCGTGCTGAGCCCCCGCAGGAGAAGCACCACCACGTGGACTCCGGCTCTACGCACCTCGGCTTCATGGTCGGTTTTGACCACAGCTGCTAAGCAGGAGGCCAGCTGTGAGGGAGAAAGGCAGGGCCCTCAGAGTGGGCAGACCTTGCTAAGGAAGGGCCAGAGCGGGAGGCTACGGGCGCCACTGGGGAGAGCCGAAAGCGGCCCTTCCATTGTGTTAAGAAAGGGCGGCACCGACCACTGGGGCCCTGGAGAGCCCTAACCGAGGGTAAGTTACTCCCCCAGTGGGGATCCTTTTGGCACCCACTGCTGGCTCATAGCATCTGAAGAAGACCTTCACTGACACACACACGGGGCTCAGGTGCTTGGGCCCAGGGCCAGATGTGCACATGGGGAGCCAGAGGACCATAGCTTCCACCCCCCCACCCCCCGCTGCATCTCTCTCTTCCTAGGCTCAAGGACAGCCTGCCTTCTCCACACCCTGCAGCAGCTTCCGCTGAGTCAGCTGGCACCTGGCCTGCTGCAGCGCCAGAAACGGCTCTCAGCCGAAGAGACGTGACTGCAACATTGCAGCTCCTGTCCACGTCCTGGAGGCCCTGGGCAGCCTTGGCAAAAGGCCCAGCCGCACGGCGAGGCTCCTGCGTGGCTCGGCGACCACCAGAGCATCCGCAGCACTCCGGCTGCCCCAGCTGCAACGCCGCAAAATAGACCAAGACCCCCCCCCTGGCTCACGAGCAGCACCTGAGGAAGTCGGTTGTGTCTCCTTGGGCATTTCAGAAGCACCGGAGGGGTCTCTGCCCAAGAGGGGCGGCCAGGAGAGACCCCTCCCAATGTCTGAGTGGCTTTGGTAAAAGTGGAGGACCACGGCCAGGGCTGGTTCGCATACACATCACACAAACACACCCACGAGCGTGTGAAGCTTTCCTCTATTCCCCTTTTAGCTTGCAGTTCTTCAGTGAGAAGCGGAGGAAAGAGTCACTCGGCGTGAGATCCCTTCCGGGCAAGGGGGCCTAAAATGCAGCCTCCACTCGGCTGCAACATGGACGGAGCCTCCGAATGTGCCAGGCTTCTCTTCTCGCAGGCAGGCCGCGCCCACGGCCAACACCGTGTGTTTGTGTGTGTGTCTCCCCGTGTCCCAAGCACAGCACCGGACACCCACAGCCACAGTGCGGGAGGAGAAAAGGGGCTGGTACCTCATGGACCACCGACCCCAGCTGAAAACCAAGGATCTGGCACAACTCCCCCAGGTTGGACAGGCTGCTGGCTCTGAGGGAGGGGTCAGGATCTCGGACTCCTCGCAGGAAAGCATGGATCAGCTTCTCTCTGTGCTGGAAGGCCAGGTCTCCTGCAAGGAGGAGGGGAAAAAGGGGGGAGGGGGACTGAAAAGCTGCTTGGCTGCGAGATGGGACCGGCGAGTTGGGGGGGGGGGCAACGGTGGGCACAGCTGAGCAGCCAGCTGGGGAAGAGGCCAGCGCAAGAAGAGCCAGGAGGCGCCCAGGCTGTTGCCTGTGAGGAGGCAGGACCACCTGCCATGGGGCTGACCCATCCCAGGCCTGGGGGGCAAAAAAGAGACCTCCCCACCCTACGATTTGCCCCACAGGCCAATGTTCCCACCTCCCTGCCTTCTAAAAAGCCCCCGCACCTTCTCGACTCCCCCCCTCTTATTCAGGGCCCCCAGGGGCTTCAATCCTTAGTGGGGGGAGGGAAGCGTTGAGGGACCCCCAACACCAGGTGTGGCTGTTGCTAGGCAATTCCTCCCGCAGTGGCCCCCTGTGAGCCTCTGGTTCTCTCTCCTGAGCCAGCCGGGCACAATTGGTGAACGGCCCAAATAAAACCATCCAGCCAGCCGAGGGGCTAAAACCGCCTCCAGCACCGGCTGCCTTGCCCCCCCCCCCTTAAACGGAGCAGAGTTAGAGAAGAGCCCTGGGCCGAGGAGAGGCGCCAGGCGTGCTGGCAGGCACCAGTAATTATGGCTCTGGCCTCCCAAATCACAGGCTCTCCTCTCCCTGCGAAGCAGCCCAGAGAAGGGCAGGCTTAACGGGCCTCCACTCAGCACAGCAGGCAAAGCCTCCAATACTGTCGGAGCGCCTCCTGCTTCTCCCTCCCTGGCCTGCAAAGGAGGGGACCTCCGGCCACGGTGGACGCGCTGGGGCTGCTCCCCCCCCCACTGCAGATGGGCAGCGAGAAGCCCTCCTGCCTGGGCACCTGTCCTGGTGGGGCCCTTGCAAGATGAGAGGGCCAGTGGTGCCAGGCACAGGTCTTAGACTCTTCCTAACTGCCCCATCATCACAAATGCTCCTGCGGCTAGCGAGGCTTTGGCGGCTTCCCTTGCCCTGCCTGGTCTGTGCTGGAGGGGGGTCCCATGGCCGCCCAGCAGCCACTCTGCCTCTCCACAAGCCCCCGGCTCTTCTGCGGAAGGAAGGGGCCCCTGCAAGGCCAGGAGTTGCAAAGGGGCCGAAGCCCACCCACCGCTCTTCCCACATGAGGAGGGTTCCGGCCCAAGGCAGAGCCCAGATGCTCTTCCCCACAAGCCCCTGGGAAAGGAAGACCCCAGTCCCTCCAGCCCAGCTGAGCGAGAGGACCTTCTGCAGCCCTACCCTCAAGCAGGAAGGCAGCCCCTCCCTCCCTCCCTCCCTCCCTCCCGGGCTCCCACCCTCAGCACCCTCAAAGCGCCACAACAACGAAAGGCGGGTGGAGGACGCAAAGCAGAACCCAAAGCAGCACTGGAAAAGGGGGGGGGGACGAATATCGGGCTTAATTTCAGCCCTAAGGAGGCTGGCCGAGCCTGCCGGGCACTCTGCCCAAGGCCTGCCCGCCAGGGCTGAGGAGCTGCGTGGGGAGAAGAAGCAGGGAAGCAGGGCAGGAGTCAGGGGGCCGCCAGAGACCCTCACCCCCAATGGAGATGGGGAGGGGAAACCCGGCTTCCGCAGAAGACCAGCGCCCGGCAGAAAGGCAGCAATTAGGGGATTAGATCTAAAGACCGGGCCCTCCGCCAGCAGCCGCCCAGGGAGCCACCAGGACTTCCAGCAGAGGGAGGGGGGGGGGGGGGGGGGGAGGGTTGCACTCTCGAGGGATGGAGCCAAAATGTATTTGGGACAAGGGAGGGAGAGGACAGAAGACCCCCCTCCCCCCCCTGCTTCCGAGGGCTGCCAATCGACTAGGAGTAACTGTGGGAGGGGGGGGGGGCAACAAAGCAGCCATGGGGCCGAGAGAGCAAGGGGCACCAAGGGACCCCTTCTCTTGGCAGGTAAGACGGGGGCCGGGGGCTGTCAAGAGAGGGAAAGGCCCATCATCCTGGCCCAGGAAAAGGAAGGCTCAGGGGACGGAGCTGGGCGTTTCCAAAGGGAAGTGGGAGGGGGGGTCTGTAATGGGTGCAGCTGTCTGGGAGCCAGGAGACCCGCGGCTGCCTGCCCTGTGCCAGCCACCTCCTGCTACTGCTGCTGCTGTGCCATGCAAGGAGCCCGGGCTGGTCCCATGGAGAGCAGGCAAGCAGGTGGGAGGTGCGGATGGGGAACCACCTGGCCCAGATGGGAGCTTAATGAGGAGGTGGGCTCAACTGAAGGCAACCAGGCCGGGCGAGGGAGGGGCATCGGGGAGAGGGCTCTGTGTCCCACATGCCCTGGCAACGGGAGGGGCTGTGCCAGGTGGGCAAGAACAGCCCCGCTTTTGCAGCCAAGACGGAGGGGGGGGGCTGAGGGGGCAGGAACCAGTCAAGATCAGACGGCACGAAAGGGGGGGGGGAGGGGACTCCCGGCCAGACAAGCCGCTCAGCTACTGTCTTGGCGGAAGCGGCCGATGGGGCAAGGCAGCCGAGGGCCATGAAGGCGGCTTGCAACACACAGGAAGCAGGCAGGGAATTCCCGATTCTCACGGATGGGAAAGCCAGCAGCCAAACCCTCCCGAGGCTCAAGGCAGGGAAGTGACTCATCCGTGGGACCAGAGGGAGACTCCGGAAGGCCTTTATGGAGAGGCTCAGGCGGAGCATGGCGGGGGGGGTCAGACTCCATGGCCTCACGGAGCCCCCTTCGGCTCTGGATTTCGGGGGGGGCTATGGCCAAACCCACCAGAGCGCCCCCTTCCTGCCCCGGCCTCTCTGGCCCTCCCAGCCCCTGCAGGCCGACTCACCCAGGGCTCGCGTGGTGCGCAGCAGCGCCTCCCCCACCTTCATCCTGGTCTCCGCCAGGGGGGCGCCCGCGTACTGGCTGAGCAGGAGGGGAAGGATGTCTTGTGGGGAGGCATCGGACAGCAGGGCCAGGCCTGGAAGGGGGCAGAAGCAGCACATGGGAGGCCCCTGAGGCAGCCCCCGGCTGAGCCAAGGGGGGGGGGGGAGGCGCAGAAGCCTTCGCAGGGACCACCAAGGGCAGCTCAATCGGCCACCGAGGGTCCCCGTCCCCCGGGCAGCTGTCCTCCCAGCTCTCCCCTAAAGGCATGGGAAGCTCTTCAGCACAGCCCACCCCCCTCTTCATCCCACCATCACAACCCCCTCCCTCCCCTCCGGCTCCCAGTGGCGGATTTTGCGTGAAGCAGCCGAGCTTCAGGGCACCCGAGATCGTTCCCAGCTGGAAAGGCCCCAGCAGCGGAAGCCCTCCAAGGTTCCCCCCTCACACCCTCCCCCTCCGACTCCTCTCTGGCCTTTGGAGCAATGAAATAACCGGCCACAGAGTAGGAGTTGAGGAGGGGGCAGCCTTTGGCATGCCAAGAGCCACTCAAGCGGCAGGGCGGCCCCAGTGGGACTGCAGCTCTGCCCTCAGCTGCTGCTTTTGGATGCAGCCTCTGTCTCTGTCTGTCCGTCTGTCTGTCTGTGTAGAAGTAGGGGGAACCCCGTCTTAGCCCCACCCCCTCCCTGCCCATCACCCAAAGGCCTTCCCAACATTCTGAGTCAACGGCAGGAGATTCATCGGCTGTTGCAAGGCCGTCTTGCTCAACCTGGAAGGTGCCGCTCTTGTGCCCCAGGCTGGCAGCGCCAGGGAGTCAGCACAGGCAGAATCCCTTCACCCGCTCATCAGGGAAGGAGAAGGGGGGGGGGAGGCTCTCCCAGCCTGCTTCCTTCACCCCGCCTTCCCTGGCAAGGCGGGGCATTAGCACAGAAGGGCTCAGAGAGCGGAGCCCCGGAGCAACGCCCAGCAAGGGAGCCCAGAAATCCCACCCGGGGGGGCTCTCTGGGCTTCTTGGGGGGCTTCTGGCAGGGGGACGGAGTGGCCCAGAGGCCTCTTGAGAGCCAGGAAGAGTTCGAAGGCCTACAGGGGGCCTCGGGAGCTCTGCCTCTTTGTGCCTCTGCCTTATGCAACCAGCCTTCCTTTGTAGAGCCCGTTCCTCCTCTGGGCCCTGTGGCGGGGATGCCAAGCGGTGGCCAGGCCCAGAAGAGCCCCCCCCCTCCACCCAGGGCAAGAATTCGGCTGCCTGGACAGCCGAATGAGGTTCAAAGGTGGGAAGGAGGAAGGGCGCCCCTGTCCGCTTCCAGAGGAGACAAGGACGAGATTTGCCCCGGAGGTCTTGTGAAATGCCTCCCAAGGAAGCTGGTGAGAGATTGTTTCCTGGAGGACTTGGCGGCTTCTCCAGAAAGGTGACGTTGCACAGAGACAGGAAGGCAGGTGTAAGGAAGGGGCCGGCCGGAAAGAGGGCAGCCCACCCAGAGGAGTGGCACCCACTGACCTCGGCCGTGCTTAGGGTCCCACCCGCCCTAGGGATGTCTCCAGCCCAGACTGGGCACCAAGGAGCCCCCTCGCCCTTGGGGAAAAGGAGAAGCAGGGGGGCTGTTTGCTGAAGTCCGCCCTGCGTCCTGAGCAAAGTGGTGGGAGGCCAGCAGAGAGGAGCAGGAGCTGGGCGGGGGGGGGGGGGGGGGGCTACTGGTTTCATTCAGGGACGGCCCCCCACCTTTTCTCCCATTTCCTAAGCCCACTTGCAAAAACCTGGCACTCAGGAAGACCATCGGCAATGTGCGCCAGGCAGGTGGGCTTCCGGCCTCTGACCTGGGCTCAGCCAGCCCCCCTTCCTGGAGCATTTGCCCCCCATCCACCACCCACCCCAGGCAAGAAGTCTGGACAGGAAGGGCCCTGCATTTCCACACACAGAGCAGCCGGGAGCAAGAGCGGGTTGCTTACCTTGGATAGCAGAAAGGTAAACAAAGGAGTCTTTGTGCTCCAGGTTTTCTACAAAAACCTGAAAATTAAAACCAGGAATCACTTGGCTGGCAGAGCTGCAGCCAACCGGGTCTCTCGGCCGAGGCCTCCTTGGCGGGGCAGGAGGGTTCCTCAGCCGTCCGTCCAGGCGTGGCCTTTGCTCCCCGGAAGCACCAGGGTGGCCCTGATCGGGGACTAGAAGCCCTTTCGTTTCTGGGGGAGCGCTAGGGGGTTGGACGGAGGGAGGAGGGAGGGGCTCAGCAAGAGGGCAGCTGAGGTCCGGCTCCTGGGACCACCTGCAGCAGCTGCTGCCCCCCCAGGCCCAAAACATTCAGGCTGCCTGGAAGCAGAACTAAACTCTTCCAGGAAAAGCAGACCAGGAAACAGAAGATCTGGGGACTGAAAACCTAATTATATGTGCCTGGAAGTGGCTGGAGAGAAACGCCTTCCGGCCCCCAAGCAGAGCTCACGGGGTGAAGCTCCAGGGACGCCCTCCACCTCCTCTGCAGGGAGGCCCCTTCCCCAGGCAGGCCAGAATGGGGGCCCCTCTCAGGCCCAGCCCAAGCCACCCACGGGCCTCTCCCCCACAAAGCGCTCCGGCTGCCTACCTCCAGCACCTTCTCCCGCGTCTCCAGGGCTCCGGGCTCCCTCCGCTCGACCCTCTGGGAGAGGAGGCGCAAGGCAGCCGCTCGCGTGGGGATGTCAGGGCTGTAAGCCTCCGAGAGAAGCTCCTGCAGCTGGCTCTGGGGGCCGCAGGGGGCGGAGCTTCCCTGGGCAACCGAGTCCGTCCCCTGAGGCTGCCCCGGGCGGCTCCCGGGGGGCTTCTGGGCTGCTGCCCCGCCCACACGCCCGCCCAGGGCCTGGCAGGCAGCAGTGCGGACGGCCTCTGTGGAAAAGGCGCGGTGGGTGCAAATGGAGATGCTCAGGTCAGCCGCCAGCTCCTGGATGACGGGCTCCGGGTGGAGGCGGGAGAGTTCCTCCAGCAGGGGCACCAGCTGCTTCAGGCTGCCAAAGTCTCCGGATTTCAGCTGGGGAGACAGCGGGGAGCACGTCAGCCGGGCGCTGCCCAGGAGAGGAAGCAGGGCTGATCCTGAGAACTTGGCCCTGGGCTGCAGGCAGGAAGCGCCAGGAGGGGCCCCTGCGCCCAGAGCCTTTGCTGTGGTTACCGTTATGGGTGTGCGCAGAGGCTCCGGCAGGGCGGATAAGATCAGGCCCCGAGCGCCAGGTGCACCCAGGGAAGGGTGGGTGGGAGGGAAGGCAGCTACTGCTCTTCCCCAGCAGCAGCAGTAGCAGCAGGAAAGGCCCAGCCGGGGCTCCACTCAGCCCTCCAGGGAGCTGCGTCCACGCCTGCTCAGCCCTGCCCCCTCCTGGGCACATCCTGCCACGCCTCAGAGGCCCCCAGAGGCCTCGGGCTTTGGCCGGCCAGGGCCCCCCTTCTGGCAGGCAGCAGGGTGTCCAGGACCCCCCACCCAAGAGGCCTCGACCCTCCCTCAGTATTCCTCCTCATTTCCCAAGCGTCCTGTGAGTGGAGGGGAGCTTTTCCCCGCTTGGCCCCCACCAGAAACACCCCTAGCCACCCAGCACTCCTCCTGCGGGAAACCACAGCCGGCTTCCGCAAAGGAGGAACAAGCAGCGGCCTGAAAGCCGGGACTGGGGAGGAGGAGGGGGGGCGGGGGGGAGGGAGGCCCCATGCCTACAACTGGCCCCAGCGAGCCCAGACTTGAGGAGGGAAGCTTCCCGGCTTCA